GGTCCGGGACATGAACCGCGGTCGACTACGTGGGAGTCCAGCGACATAGCCATTACGCTAACTGCTGGTTCCCCAATAAAATGATTCTTTACCCCCTAAAATGAATTGAAGTTAGCGCAGAAAACATGAGCAGACATTTTTCCAAAGACGACGTGCAAATGTCCATTAAGCACAGAAACGGGTGTTCGACGTGACTGGTTTGAGCCCAGCAGCAGCAGCTTGAGTAACACACCAGACACATGTGCACGTGAGCCCCAAATCCTGAGGAGAATGGAGAAGGGACTGAAGCTTGGCCATGGTCTTTAGAAAAATGTTTACCCACGATGAGGGGCTGGAAGGCAACACAGCAGTAAAATACGGTGCTCTGTGAGGCTGACTACATGGAAGGTTCCAGGTTCCCGTCCAGAGACCTCCCTGAGCACATCAGGCACAGAGATACCCACGATCCAGGCCTGGCTGTGGCTGGGGGGGACTGCAGTGTGGACTGCAGTGTGAGGACTCTAGTGAGGATGCTGTCTGTCTGTCTCACTTACGGCTGATAGACTTAGAAAAAAGCCATAATGAGATAACACCTCAAGCCCATTAGAATGGGTGCTGTCAAAAAAACAAAAACAACCCCAGAAAATAACAAGTGTTGGCAAGGATGTGGAGAATCAGAACCCTTGTGCATTGTTGGTGAGAATGTAAAGCGGTACAGAAAACGCTTTGGCAGTTCCTCAAAAAAATTAAAAATAGAATCACCACATGATCCAGCAACTCCACTTCTGGGTATAAAACCAGAACTGTGAGCAGGGGCTGGGAGAAGGAGCGGTATACTGAAGCTTGCAGCGGCACCTGTCACTACAGCTAAACGGGAGGCGGCCAAGCGTCAGCGACGGAGTGGGGAAGCCGCGGGGCACACCAACGGTGGCCGGTGGCCGGAAGGAGGGAAACCCGACCTGGCCTGCAGCACGGATGAATGAGCCTGAGGGTACCATGCTAAGTGAGGTACACCAGTCTCCGCGCCCCTCCTTACACAGGTGCCCAGAGCCACTGAAATCGGAGACAGGAAGGAGAGCGCTGGTTGCAGGGTGCGGGGAGAGCAGGCCAGGCAGTCAGTGTCTGAAACAAGCACGGAGCTCTGATTTGGCAGGATGACGAGACCGGTGGTGAGGGACAGTGGTGACAGTTGCCCAACATGACTGTTCTTTCTTAACTGGTCAGAGGTCGCATGCCCTTGCCAGAGAGAGAGACAGAGAGAGAGAGGGAGAGGGAGGAAGCACCTCCCAAGGGGGACTGGTCACGCTGCAACCCCTTCTTCATCTCCAGGTCTAGGCTCGAACCACAGGTGGCCACGTGGGATCTGGCTCCCTTAATCCCCAGGCTATGGGGCCAGCCCCATGAATGTTCTTTTTTTTATTTTTTGAGAGGTTTTCGCTATAGGGTGCATGCGCTCACCAGACAGAGAGACAGAAAGCGAGAAATCACCCCCCAGGGGGGATGGTCATGCCGCAATCCCTTCTCCTCCATTCTCCTCTCGGGATCTTGGGCATGCACGCACACGTGCCCGGCATGAGTTTTAAGCCACCGGGTCCGGGACACGAACCACAGTTGACTATGTGGGAGTCCAGCGGCATAGCCATTACGCCAACTGCTGGTTCTCCCCAAGAATGTTCTTTACACCACTGAACTGAACACTAAAAAATGGAGGAGCAGGCCAGGTTGGCAGGGGGGTTAGGGCAGCTGGGTCCCTCATGGCCGACTGCATGGTTCAAGTCCAGTTACAGCACCTTGAAAAACACACCAGACGCATGTGTATGCGTGCCCCGAGTCCTGAGAGAATGCAGTAGGGACTGGCGTGTGGCCATCCCTCCCTGGGGACTTGCGCTCACTCACTCTCACGCTCTTGGTGCTGCTCTCGCTCTGTCTCCAGCAAGTGCATGTACTCTCTAGCAATTTGTAAAGAAATACAGAAGCTGGTAAAAGTTTATATTCTGTGTATTGTACCACAGTAAAATCAACGCCCAGAGTGTGGCTCTAGGGTGGGCGCGATGCCCTGCAAGGCGGACCCACCCGGGGGAGCGCGAACCCACGTCTGCAGACCTCCTTGACTTGCTCGGGATCCAGGGCTGGCTCAGATGGCTGTGGGTTGTGGTATCAGACCCTTTCGGGGCGCTGTCTCGCTGTCGCTCTTGCTCATGGGAGGAATAAACAGGTGAGACTCTCGACACGGTCTCTCCCCGTTGCCGTCCTCTCACCCCTGCCCCAAGTTAGCCAGGACTATGGCCGCTGCACTATGCCAGCACGTCTAGGCTGTGCCAGGCCTCCGGTGTGGCCTCAGCCTCTGAGTAGCAGTGTCTTATCCTTGCAGCACGACCCCAGCTGAGCCAAAAAGTATACCAAGAAGAAAGGTAAATGAAACCCCCGAGTTCTGAGCCACTCGAGCCCCATTCAGGTGCTCCGCGCCCCAGCACGGGAGGAGGCAGAATGGAACCGGCCACGCTGGCCCCTAAGAGCAGTGGCAAACTGGACACCATGGACCGACTGATGGGGGAGGGAGGCCATGCTTTACCATGGGATCTATTCTGCCGGCACTTGAAACTCTCTACAGTGATGACACTGTAATTAAAAAGTACTCGAGTGTCACATGTCTGTCAAACTTAGTTGATTTCTCTTTCCC